ATATGTCTTTACCATCAATTTTCCATAAATTCCCTTCACCAGGGAAATTTTGAAATTCCTCGACTTTATCAGGCTTTGGCTCAACAAAATATGAATGTCCGTAGTCAACAAGTGCAGCTGCCATTGGATGACTTGACTTACTCTCAATGCTTGATACCCTTCATATTTAGTATGAATGTCAGTTTTTCATATTCCACCAGCAATCAAAGCATGATCAACGACACAAACTAGTTTCCTATAATTTTTCTTGTTGAGTATTTACATGATCCAATGACCCTGTTCAATTATTTCTATCGACGCTCTCCCCAAAACAATAGTAATATATGAACAATTAATATAATTTTTCTGAAGTATTCCTTTCTTTTAACAATCTAAGTATGCCGAAAGAAAGTAATCTTTACCAATAAAGCAATGCGTTCATGCTAACGCCATCAAAGAGAGATCGAAACTCTGTCACCATGAATTCTCCTCTAGTTATTGTCCCAGTCTTGTCAAAAGCCATGATCTTTATTTTTGCCAGAAGTTCAAGATACTCTGCTCCTTTTATTAGAACACCTGATGTTGCTGACTTTGAAAGTGCACAAAATGTTGCAACTGGTGTCGAGAGAATAAATGCACATGGGCATCCACTTACTAAAACAACCAGGGCCAGGTGATACCATTGATTGCGATTATGTACTTTTAGTGCAGCCGGAACAACAGCTATACAAGCTGATATAGCCAAAATGGCTGCAAAGAAACAAGAAGCTATCAAGCCAAAGAAAATTTTATATATTTGTAGTTGTTAAGATAATAATAACAACAGATAAACAAATGACAATGTTTGAAATGACAAAAAAAAATTACCTCCCATTACATAAGTAGCTGTTATTACAATAGTACCTATACTAATGCAAACTAAAACAGTACATCTCAAATTTGTTTACAAAACTATGAAGTAGTCAGTCTTAAAGTTGTTTCTTTCTCGTTAACTTTCTGTATTATATATCCTGTACGCAAATTTCCTTTTTAAACAAACTAACCTGGTGTGTAGTACTTGGCACATTTGTCTATCAATCTTTGAATTCTGGATTTGTTGCTTTGAGCATCTTCTACAAGCTTTGCCATCTTAGCCACCACACATTCTTCTGATAGCGTTGTAGCTTTAACACTAATATAACCTGAAGAGAGGATCCAAACGTGTTGTAGGGACATATCCATAAAAAGTAAAGCCATATATAGGATAGTATTAAGAAAAAGTACCATTTAGGTTGATTGTGCCAGCCCAAACAGTGGAATCCTTTTGCTTGGCCACTGGAAATGATTCCCCAGTTAAAGTTTTCTCATCTACTTCACATTTCCCATCTACTACAATCCCATCGAGAGGTATAATGTCTCCGGGCTTCACAGCTAGAATAGTGTTCACCTCCACTTCATCAGCATTAACTTCTTCTCCAGTTTCAGCTAATACAGCTCTTTGAGGAACTATGTTCACCAATGATGACATGACAACATTGGCCTACACATGCATGATTATCTCCATCATTGGGTGGTCTCAATTAAAAAAACGAGTTTGACAAACTCGACTGGATTATCAACCTTAGTTCTAATCCATTAATTTTGTGCTCTCTCTCTCATGAATGAGCTAATGCTAATATGCATCCCCTTCGTATTTTGTGCTTCTGTGCTTCATTGAAAAAATGTCGCTTGTCCCTTTCATTAAGGGTAAACCAAATTGCAACTTCAATTTTTTTGCAATTTGTTCTTCACACTTTCAGTTAGTTTCCAATAAAGGTTGCGCGGAAATGGAAGCAATTGTGTCAAATGACTCTTTTTTGAAGGCATTTTTTTAAAAATAATGCCCACAACTTCCAACATCTATCACATAGGAAGCACGAAGATAGATAAGGATAGGGATACCGATACGATATGATATAGATATAACAATACAACAAAGCTCTAAGAAATAGAATACAAATTTTGATAGGATAGGTATATAATAGAATCTATTTTATTTTTTGACTTCATAATTATAAAATTCGTAACTTTTACTTTCAAACAAGTATAAATTGTCTAATTATTGTATATACACAAAGTAAACGTAAGAACTTAAAAGGAATCGGATTCAACATTTAAGTAGTTGATTTGCTTATAATTGCATGCTGCCAAAAGATATGGATTAATTAACTCACTTTGTGCTTTTTTCAAATTTGATAGTAAACAATGCTAATGAAACACTCACATGTTTTCAGAGTTGTATGATGTTTTCTACATGTGGTTCATTATATGTGAATTCGAGGGGAAAGGAAAAAAATAAAAAACAAATTCAATAAAAAATTACATATTGTTTCATGCATTCACTTGCATATCCAAAGTATATTTATTTTGAGTACATATCCACGACATATTTAGAATTTTGATATATTAGTAAGTAGTGTTGTAGGTATTAGATACATATTCTCAAGTATTCGGTGAGTATTGTATCCGCTACGATATCTGATGTGAAAAATCAATAAAAGGATAATAATTTGGCATTACGCTTATCAGCTCCCTTCAATTCATTTAATAGATCATACAAGACCGTATTTTACGATACATGATATATCATTTTTTTAAAATGATATGTTTTTCGATATACGTTTTGACAACCTTAAACAACGGTATAACCCAATAGGAAAAGACGGGTGTTCATCCTCTACAATTAATGGGTAGCTACTCCCACATTCACCCTACTAGCCTTATGCTCAAAAGTTGCCAAACCAGGGATTGTATGAACTGCTTATTACTGTTTTATTCACTGTTACAGTTTGCTTTATATGGAGACGAAATACTTAATGCAGTTGATAAATGAACTAAAAAGAAAAAGAGAAGCCATGCCATTAACTAACCTCATGACTAGCTCTTGACTCGAGCCACTCTGCTATTGTAAACAAAAAGACGATAGTTCCAGCTTCCCAATAATCATGCAAAACAATGGATCCCGCGACTGCAAGATATTGAGTAGTAAGAATATATAAGAGGAATCAATAATTTAATGAACACAAGATGATTAGTAACCAATATAAATCCATATTGGTCCTCTTTGATTTTTGCCTTTTATTTAACTTTATCGTTTTTAGTCAAACGAGTCTAATTCTTTTGAGACAAGTTTTTTGTAGTGGTAGTGTTTATCTTCACGAAAAAGTTGTTTTCGGAGAAAATTTTTTTTTATGACAGTAATGCTGTCATAAAAAGTTTATTTACCGCCGCAATATTATTTTAGACAACATTTACCAGCACAAAAACTATGGTGCAACATGCTGTAGTGGAAATTTAAAAAGTTTTTGTAACAGCGATAACCTGTCTCAAATATTATTTGCGACAACAAATAAATTTTTTATGATAGTCATAAAAAAAAAATTCCTAAAAAATGTACTTTTTTGTGACGGTGAGTATTGTTATTGCAAAAAACTTGTTTCAAAAGACCTTAACTCTTATAGTGCAAGTATTGTTTCTATCACAAATGAAATGGTACCTTATCTTACTGTAAGTGAGTAGCAATGGACCATGCAATGCATGGAAAAATCAAAAGAAACAAAAATTATCATCGTCAAATTCTCATATTTACAGCCAAGTTGTTGACTTTCCAAGCTTCACCAACATTATGATCTTTAATATCATGGAGTATCATAAACCATCTATAACAGCTACTTTAGTTACCCAAAGTGATTGGCTTAATAGAATATGTACCGTAAAGTAATCAGCTACTACCTGCAATTAGCATAAGAATGTTGATATCGAGTGTGAAATTGCGGATCGCCGCTATAGCTCTCAAAACTATTGGATATATACCAATAGCAACCGCTCCAAGAGCAACCCATTGAAAGGGGTGAAACACGTATCTTAAAAATGATAGCGCTAGTAAAACACCACAAGCAACTGCAAATGGACTCGGCCATTTTTTCTGATAGTTTCCCCCTCCACTTCCAGATACTCTAACATTTGCTTCCAACCTCGCTTGATTCAGTGCCTTAACTGTCATTAAACACCAACAAACAAAACGGTCATATGTTATTGTAGGTGTAAGAAGTCACCTATGAATCACGGGGGTACTTCGATTGAGGCGATGTACTCATATCTGATATGTGTCGGATACCCATATTTGTTGGATAATTGAAGATAAGTATTAGATATCTTATGTGTGTATTGAATAATTAATAAAATATTTATAATTGTTGAATATTTGTCAGATACGCGTGTCTCCACATGATCCTAACGCTAAATAAATTGGTTTATGTAAATTTGAATTAATTTTTGTGCTCAATAGTCTAGTACTTCATTGAATTCAACACACCATTGTGCAATCTCTATGCCAGCAACGTACGTATATGGACTTGCCGAAAAAAAAAAACGTACGTATATGGTTTTAATTTGGGATGTGGGTTTTTGTTTCCTTACCCCTCGGATCCCCAATTTTATGGTACAATTTCATAGTATCATATATTTTATAAGATAAACGTACCCTAGTCATATCTGTATTCTACTATTTAAGATTTTATCGTACTAACATATCTATATTGTATCGTACTCATATCTTATATCCGTATCTGTGGTTCTTAAGAAATCACCCTAGGATGTTTTTAGTGGCGGAACCAGAAAAATATTTAAGGGTAAGCATTCTATCATGTTTTATCTTAATCGATAAAATAAAAAAAAAGATAACATATTTATACTATTTATTTTACCAATGATCCTTAAAAATTTTATACATACATGTGTACAACAGAAAAAAGATTAATTATATCTTTCACTGAAAATGAGGTTAACCGCAACTAGTTTTAATTGACCCAACAAATTTTCATATTTTGCTAACTTTGTCTGACGACTTCATTATTAATGACTAATGAAATTAATGTCAAAATCATATATATGTACACTAAAAAATATACCACGTATTTGTTTATTTTAGAATTTTGTGAGTAAGATCACAAATCTCTACTACATTTTAAATTCAATACTAAAGTACACATCAATAATAACTGGTCAAGTTGATCAAAAGATTTTAAAATGAGCTCAATATGTACAAGCTAGTCTGAATATGTCTAAAGTGGGTCCACTGTTAGTCATTTAGTTATGAGTGTGTACTAATTGATACAATAAGAAAATAAAATAATATTATATAGACCTAATTCAATGTAGTTGTTGGACTAATTGTGAGTTTCAAGGTGAGATAAAGTCTACCAATGGTTATATCGGATTAGATTTCTAAATTAGATTATCAAATTAAGTATTAATTACATTTTTCAAGAAAATAATAAGATAGACATAGTTAGATGGAGCAATCCTATTGGAACCTAATTTATTAACATAATTTGTTGACCTAATTCACTGTAACCTTTGGATTCAATATAGATCTCATCAAACATTAGAACTTAGGTTGATTTAATAGCTTTTATGAAGTCATATCATTATATCAGTAAATTAGATCAATTTTTTAGGTTTAAATAGTATTACTCAATTATATATACTTAAAGAAAATATAATACATAATAATAAGACAATAAAATTGAGGATGGACACGTGGCCACTCTAGTCCTTGAGTGGCTCCTTGGTGCTTTCATTAGTTTTGGTCATGAAAATGGACCACAAATCAACCATTGGTTTCTTTACTAGCAATTACGGTTGATTCCATGTGCAATTCATTATTTGTTTTCCTAGAAAAGTACACTTTACATTTTTTTTGCTTAACAAATAATTGAGAGGTATAGTTGACACCTTGGCAAGAAAAGAGCAAATATTAAGTGTAACGGTGACATCATATTATTATTGATACATAGTATCACCATCTAATTTAGTCAATACAATGGATGAAGATTATTAGATCACCCCCTTCCCCTTCCCCTTCCCCTTCCCCAGCCCCAAAGAAAAGGAAAGAAAAGAAAATGTTAAAAATGCAATTATGAGACATATTTATGGGACGTAACAAACATATATCATATTGTGTCCACCCTATATGTACATACTTTACTTTTATTTTTCCTTTAAAATGATTTAAAACAAGTCAAAATATGTTTCGTCATTTTTATTGTGTTAAAACTCTCTTCCGTTGGTCTAGATTTACATATTTACGATTTTTTTTTGTTCTATGTTCTTAATATGGAATTAAAATTGACTTATAATTTACTATTATTTTGTACGACAAACCTTTTTCTTTCTCTTTGACTGATAATTATTGTGTTTAATGTATTTCAATCTTAGTACTATTCCTACTTTTTAAGTTTTTGTTTTATGATTTTGTTATTTGATACCTTGATTTTAATCTAGAAGATAGTGTGTAAAATAACTTAAAAATTAAAAATTATGAAAAATAAGTTGAGTAACCGAATAAATGATTAACGGATGACTCGGAGTTTGATTGTACAAAACAATACTCCCTCAATGTCTTTGACAACAAAGTTATTATGTAATACTTTCAAATATTAAAACTCATATGGCCAACTACAAAAATTATGATTAACCTCAGATTTTTAAAGAATTGTAATTAGCCTACTTTTTGGTATTCTTTTTTTTTGCGTCTATTGACTTTAGGACTTTTGTCATTAATAAATATTTACAAATTGAATAAAAGAAAATTAAGGAGAGAGAAATTTCTTTTAATGATTACCAATCTGAACCTGGGAGATGAGGAGAGTGTCGTGAACAACAATGACTGTTTTGGATGGGACGATAACTGTAACATCTTTGACTCCAGGAAGTGGCATCAGAATCTTCTCGATCAAAGGAACCTCTGATGAACAGCAAAGACCCAATACATCGAAGTAGCTTTTCTGCAACTTGTTGCCTGGATTTCTTTCACTAGCAGTCATTTTTGCCTCTATCTGCTGCATATTGCAACAATCATCAATAAACACCACAGTTCTAATAACTTGTGTATTTGGAAAATATGAGAGACAGAGAGAGACAGAGAGAGAGAGAGCCAAAATTTAGAACTGCAGGAAGAATTTCCATAGACTTGGTAAAGTTGTACAGAGTCTACATCAAGCCCCATAGAATGCGTAATTAATAAGAAAACAATACCCTTGATTCAGTGGATGCCTCTGAATTTCCTCGAGCTCCACTTTTCGTTGGCCTGAAGAGGCTTGAGAATAAAGACAAAGGCACTACGGTGTGATGATATATATAGAGCAACAGTAGGTTGGTTGTTTGCTGAATAAATAGATTGTATTAAGAGCATCTCTTTTTTTTTAAACTCAAATTTAAATTTAGATAAAAAAAAATCTAAATATTATCTTCAGTTTTATACTCAGACTCATACTGAAGAAAGACATTTTTCTAAACTCAAATTAAGAGAGATTCAATACCTAAAATCAAAAATCTAATGGTAAAAAATCTGCTATCTTTCTTCTTTCCATGCCGACTATGCTTTCCGATGGACCTCTCCACGTAAACACTCTCTTTCTCTTTGCTTTTGTCACAAACGTTGTATATATATATATATATATATATATATAAGTGGTCAAGAAAAAATCCAACATCAAGAAAATTTTATTGATTGGTTATGTGCTTTAATTTGGAGGGAATAAAAAATTGAGGGGTAAAGAAGTTTGGAGGTAAAAAAGTAGAGAAAAGAGAAGAGTAAAAAAGGTTTTAGAAGAAAAAATGAAAACAAAAGAGCTATTGGGATAACATAGAATTTTTTTAAAAAATTTGAGTACAAAAAAGGATTTGTCCATTGCAAAGATCAATATCAAATCAAATTTTTTATCATTTTTTTAACTCAAATTTGGGTAAGGGTTTAAGTAAGGACTAGAGATGGTCTAATATAAGTTAATTCCGTATCGACAAATTTATTTGATTGTATCCATATCAGTGAATAAAATATAAGATTAAATATGAAATAAAAATATTATTCATTGTAATTCAGTTTAACGTTAAATTAAGAGTAGAATAATAGAGTACTAATTACAAATTGACAAAAAAATCATCAATCTAGTCTAATTATTCATGTTTTTGTTTATTTGATGAACAAAATATTAAATTTACAACATAATTCACTTGAACTGAATTATAATACCACAACTCTAGGTGATATTCTAATCAACTCAACAGAAGGGTAAAACTTATTATTCGTATATGTATTTGAAATAAGTCTATATGTAATTGCAACTAAATGAAATATAGGATTAGATTAGAGATTTTTAATATGTTATGATTATATAATTCACCTTTAAATACTATAACTAAATGACCCTAACGGTATCAAATGTGGTATATATGTACGGTACTAAATTTACAACCAATATAAATATAATTTTTTGAGATAGTTTATAAGAAAGTATAATTGTACAAATTCAAATTGACAGAATTTTTAAGTTCTAGTCTTCAAACAAGAACTAAGACGCTCATTCGACGCGACACTACTTAATTTTTATTTGATACTTATCTCGGTTTTCATTGAAATGTGATGCTCAAAAACATGAGAATCAATACCGTCTAACTTTATACACTTTGGCAAATTCCCTATATGAGATCCTTTGACTTTTATGCTAACAAAAGTTCAATTTTTATAGTTTATAGAGTTACTAACTGTATGAGACTATAGGTTATAACTAGGGCCGGAGCCACCTTCGGACATTTGACTTTTGAATCTTCTTTGTATATTATCTATTATTTTATTCTATTTATTAATGGCTCATGTAGTAGGGTGGATGAAAAAAATAACATAATAAAAAGTGGGAGTCGTATACTTTATATCTTTCAAAGAAGGAATTCTTCATTCCCTTCTTTGTATTTGGTAAGAGAGATAGAAAGTACGAATAATTGATTTTTTTGTGTTTGATAGGATGAAAAAAGTATTTTTTAAAATTTTAAAATTTTAAAAATATATATATATATATAAATACATAATATGTAATTGATAAATATGATATATGTATATATATCAAAGAATACAATGACAAATAATATATATTTCAACACACATAATTAATTTTTTATCCACTTTCCACCGAATTTTGGAAGGATTGATTTTTGTGAGTCAGAAGAAAAGCTAATATATCCACTTTTTTATCTTTCCTATTTTCCTTCCTTACCAAATATAATATTTTATCTATCTCTCTAACTTTCCATTATTTCAACTTTCCAAATCTTCCATCCTACTAAACAATACATAAATTTGCCCCCTAAATTTCTTGAAAATTAGTAACATGACCTAAGTTTTTTATTTTATTTGTTAAGGTAGTAGTCCATTGCTCCCCTAAAATAAATATTTTATTTCTTGATTAAATAAAACATAATTAAATGTCATAACTGGTATATATATAAATAAATATTTTTTTGTGTCTTTTTTGCTTTTTTTTTTTATTTAAGATAAATAGAAACTAGTTTCATCAAATAATTTAATCTTAAAACTTATATATCTTGTCTTGTTTGAATTTCAATTTTTTTTGTATTGATTATTTACATATGACCCTCCTTAAACTCCGCGTAGATAGAAGTATCATGCACTAGACCGCTTTAATGAATTTTTTTAATTATATTTTTTCCTCCTAAACTTGAATGCATGCTTCACCCCTGATTATAACCTCCTTAATCAGTTCTAAGTAGGGGAGGTAATGACTTCCTGCTATCATTTTCACAACTCAAACTTTGTAATTTTTTTTTGGAATTTAATAATTACAATCATTTTATGGGTAATGGATCTCAATAAATAATGAGACATACAATAAAATCAATAATTATAATTATTAAATCTATTTTTTAAATTCATATAAAATTACTCATTAAAAAAACTGTTAAAACGGGTTGAATTATATAAAAAACCCAACCACCACGCATAGTATAATAATGCCGCCTGCTTCGATGAGCTGCCTCAGTAACTTATTATTTTTATTATTATTATTATTTCTATTGCGCGAATGGTGTCAGAGCAGAGGTCTTTTGGAATCATCCAAATCTTTCGAGTTCACACACAAATTTCTTTTCAGAAAAAATTTCATTTACATTTCCTCTAATTTATCATATTTTTAAGGATACATCCTATATTATTTAAAATATTACAAAAAATCCTTATAATTTATATTTAAATATCACTAACACCCTTGCTATTAAACCATCATTTTTAATAAAAAATTTTTTTATCTAAAATACTAAAATTACCCTTATAGAAAACCTTACAATATTTTAATATAAAATTCAAGTAGATTAAAATTTATTTTTGTACATATTAAAATTAAATTTTTTATTTTTTTTTTACATAGGAAATAAATTAAAAATTGTTTGACATATAGTAAATACTATAATTAATACTCGAATAAAAATAGACACGATTTCTCGTAAAAAAAAGTTAAATGAGGTCAATTTTAAGAATTTTTACTTATAAAAATTCATAAATAATAAAATTAAGGTCATCTAGAGAAAACGTTAATAAAATAAAAAAGACTACACAATTAAAATAAAAAAAAAATATAGGAGAGGCATAAGTAAAAAATATATGTATAATGCCCTGATGCATCTGTCGGCTGCCTCCGTACAACCTTGGAAGAGAATGGTTTTTATTACCCAAAACTTAAATATAATTATTTATTTAACTTCTTATGTAAAAAATTAAAAAAAAGAGACTAAAAAACACGAATTATAATTCCGTGCAAATGCACGGAGCTGACTACAAGTATTTTATATTTCAATACATGTTATTCGACAATAAATTATTGTTCCTCTCGATACCTCTTAATCTTCTATTATTTCTCTCCATCCACAACTGATAAAGAGTAGCAGCAAGGCTAAGTTTGAGAAGAACCATTAGCATTGATTTTCCTTTCCAGTTGGTTGCAATCCAATCAATTAGGTCACTCCAGGGTCAGGTTGTAGATTAATGCCTGAAATAACCAACACAGAGTTCCAAACCCTTGTAGAGAACGAGCAATTAAAAAAGAGGTGAGGGTGGGATTCATCAGCAGCTTTATAGAGAATGCATTCAGTACCGAGATGTGCAGCATAGGCTTGAATTCTATCAAGGGTATTTAGCTTACATCCTATACAGGGGTGGAGCCAGACTTCCAGGTTAGAGGGGCAAAAATATAAATGAAAAACATTAATCAACTTTTATTACTATGTTAATAAGGATTAAAATGGGAGGTATATCTATAGAAGAAAATTCATAAATCCAGCTATGAGAAATATAGAATCAAAAATTCCAAGAATTGTTTATAATTGATTAATTTTATACTAAATTTTTAAGCAATTTTCTTTTAATATATAAAATCAAAAAGGCAGTTGAAAATAATCATTTATCTTGTTGCGAAGCCTAGTTAAGTTCATCATCAATTCTATTGAGAAATTAATTTTTATGGAAGAGCAAAAGTACTTTTGGATTAGCCTATTTTATCATCTACTAGTTGGTGCACTAGTTGGTGCACGAATGCGTTGCACGCCAACTATTTTGACTTTTTTTTTAAAATAAATAAATAAATTGGACTAATTTTTTTTATATGGAGATGGTTATATATTATATGATGGTTATTGAATTTTGTAGGGCTTATTTGTCCACTTATTCCCTTGTTAGTGGATGATTATATAAAGTGACACTGTTGACGTAATGTAATTGTTACGGTCAAGATTTTTCTTATATTTTAGGTTGTATTAACTGAATTGCATATGGTTCAACCAAAAAAAAAATTGAATTGCATTTCCGTTAAAAACTGTAATGTTTAACTATAGTAAATTATTACTAGATAATTAATGATTTCTTTGGCTAATAAGAAATTATTACAATATGTTATTATTGTTTTTTTATTTTTTTAAAGATAGTATTATCAATTAATTTTTTTTGATAAGTATTGATATTTTAAAGTAGTATATAAATTATTAGATCTATTCAAATATATTTTTTTAGTAAATTTGGATATGTACTACGTACCTACAAATATATAATATAATTTAGTGATTATGTAATAAAATTGAGGAGAAATTCATGTGCTAAATGTTAACATTGTCTCTAATCAACTTATTTGGATCAGAACAGATATTTATTTTAACGGATTCGTGTATACATTGTGAAAAATAAAATTCGTTAGACAATTGAATTGAATTCAGATCAAATTTTTCAAATCAGATTTGGGTCAAATTTATATGATTTGAAA